ATTTTCTATACATGTATTGATTTCTCTATACAGGTGTTGATTTTTCTATACAGGTATTGATTTCTCTATACAGGTGTTGATTTCTCTATACATGTATTGATTGCTCTATACATGTATTGATTTCTCTTTACAGGTGTTGATTTCTCTATACATGTATTGATTTCTCTATACATGTATTGATTTCTCTATACATGTATTTATTTTTCTTTACATGTGTTGATTTCTCTATACAGGGGTTGATTTCTCTATACATGTATTGATTTCTCTATACAGGTGTTGATTTCTCTATACATGTATTGATTTCTCTATACATGTATTGATTTCTCTGTACAGGTGTTGATTTCTCTATACAGGTGTTGATTTCTCTGTACATGTATTGATTTCTCTATACATGTATTGATTTCTCTATACAGGTGTTGATTTCTCTGTACAGGTATTGATTTCTCTATACAGGTGTTGATTTCTCTATACAGGTGTTGATTTCTCTGTACATGTATTGATTTCTCTATACAGGTGTTGATTTCTCTATACATGTATTGATTTCTCTATACATGTATTGATTTCTCTGTACAGGTGTTGATTTCTCTATACAGGTGTTGATTTCTCTGTACATGTATTGATTTCTCTATACATGTATTGATTTCTCTATACAGGTATTGATTTCTCTGTACAGGTATTGATTTCTCTATACAGGTGTTGATTTCTCTATACATGTATTGATTTCTCTATACATGTATTGATTTCTCTGTACAGGTGTTGATTTCTCTATACAGGTGTTGATTTCTCTGTACAGGTATTGATTTATCTGTACAGGTATTGATTTCTCTATACAGGTGTTGATTTCTCTATACAGGTATTGATTTCTCTGTACATGTATTGATTTCTCTATACAGGTGTTGATTTCTCTATACATGTATTGATTTCTCTATACAGGTGTTGATTTCTCTATACATGTATTGATTTATCTGTACAGGTGTTGATTTCTCTATACAGGTGTTGAATTCTCTATACATGTATTGATTTCTCTTTACATGTGTTGATTTCTCTATACAGGTGTTGATTTCTCTATACATGTATTGATTTCTTTATACAGGTATTGATTTCTCTGTACAGGTGTTGATTTCTCTATACATGTATTGATTTCTCTATACATGTATTGATTTCTCTGTACAGGTGTTGATTTCTCTATACAGGTGTTGATTTCTCTGTACAGGTGTTGATTTCTCTGTACAGGTGTTGATTTCTCTGTAGTGGTGTTGATTTCTCTATACAGGTGTTGATTTCTCTGTACATGTATTGATTTCTCTATACATGTATTGATTTCTCTGTACAGGTGTTGATTTCTCTATACAGGTGTTGATTTCTCTGTACAGGTATTGATTTATCTGTACAGGTATTGATTTCTCTATACAGGTGTTGATTTCTCTATACAGGTATTGATTTATTTGTACAGGTATTGATTTCTCTGTACAGGTATTCATTTTCTATACAGGTGTTGATTTCTCTATACATGTATTGATTTCTCTATACAGGTATTGATTTTTCTGTACAGACATTTGATTATTTTATACTCATTTATATTGCTTTTTTTCGTTTAATTGTGCCATTCCGCTCTAGAAAAGTGCATGGGAGTTGTACTTTTTACGGCTACGTATATATATAACATGATGTCTTCTATTTGCAGCGCACGTTTCCTTAATTACTTACGCGTCTAGGTAAATGTCTGTGTTTACCGCACAAATGACATACCAGGCCTTGGCATTCCAAAACTGATTAAATAAAAGTAATTAACAATTTTAATTAGCATGTCTTCTGAAATACCTATGACAATAAAATGCAATGGTAATAAATCATGGTGGGAAAAAGTTATCTCTGTTATTGGTTTACACTAGTGTCTGTGTAGACAGGGGTAAAAAGGGGTAGTGCACGTTAAATTTACATGCTTTATGGAATATAAAACACTGTTATTAAGTGTCACACAACACAGTGGCATACAGTATCACACAACATAGTGTCATCAAGTGTCACACAACACAGTGTCATCAAGTGTCACACAACACAGTGTCATACAGTATCACACAACACAATGTCATACAGTGTCACACAACACAGTGTCATACAGTATCACACAACAAAGTGTAATACAGTATCACAAAACACAGTGTCATGCAATGTCACACAACACAGTGTCATACAGTGTCACACAACACAGTGTCATACAGTATCACACAACACAGTGTCATACAGTATCACACAACAAAGTGTCATACAGTATCACAAAACACAGTGTCATCCAATTTCACACAACACAGTGTCATACAGTGTCACACAACACTGTGTCATACAGTATCACAAAACACAGTGTCATACAATTTCACACAACACAGTGTCATACAGTGTCACACAACACAGTGTCATGCAGTATCACACAACACAGTGCCATACAGTGTCACAAAACATGGTGTCATCAAGTGTCACACAACACAGTGCCATCAAATGTAATACAACACAGTGCCATATAGTATCACACAACACAGTATCATACAGTGTCATACAGTATCACACAACAAAGTGTCATACAGTATCACAAAACACAGTGTCATCCAATTTCACACAACACAGTGTCATACAGTATCACACAACAAAGTGTCATACAGTATCACAAAACACAGTGTCACACAATTTCACACAACACAGTGTCATGCAGTATCACAAAACACAGTGTCACACAATTTCACACAACACAGTGGCATACAGTGTCACACAACACAGTGTCATCAAGTGTCACACAACACAGTGTTATCAAATATCACACAACACAGTGTCATCAAGTGTCACAAAACACAGTGTCATCAACTGTCACACAACATGGTGTCATCAACTGTCACAAAACATGGTGTCATCAAGTATCACAAAACACAGTGTCATCAACTGTCACACAACACAGTGTCATCAAGGGTCACAAAACACAGTGTCATCAAGTGTAACAAAACACAGTGTCATCAACTGTCACACAACATGGTGTTATCAACTGTCACAAAACATGGTGTCATCAAGTGTCACAAAACACAGTGTCATCAACAGTCACACGAGACAGTGTCATCAACTGTCACACAACACAGTGTTATCAAGGGTCACAAAACACAGAGTCATCAAGTGTAACAAAACACAGTGTCATCAACTGTCACACAACATGGTGTTATCAACTGTCACACAACACAGTGTCATCAAGTGTCACACACAGTGTCATCGAGTGTCACAAAACACAGTATCATCAAGTGTCACACAACACAGTGTTATCAAGTGTCACACAACACAGTGTCATCAAGTGTCATACAACATAGTGCCATAGTGGTAATGACACATTATACTTCACACAACATAAATCTTTGACGTTTAACGATGACGTAACTATGCAGAGCCGATTCGAAAACTGAGATTTCTTTTAATTTATTATTATAATTTCATCTTACGTTTCTTTTTCGTTATCTTAATGCTTTCTCAATTTAATCATCCTGATGTCTATTTATTATTTCGTACAGCTACTCAAACATGACAGACATTTATTTTTACTTTTGAAGTCACTTCCTCATGAAGCTTTGAGGTTTAAGAGTTTTCACCAACATCAACATTTACAGAAGATGACGACGTCATAAGTAGAAACAACATTATATTATCACAAAACCAGGACGTTAGTATTTACATCAGCATTCAGACAACACAATGACCGCACTATTGAATAAAGCATTTATACAAATTAATGACGTCACTTTTTGACACCTGCATAGACACAAAGTAATGACGTCATTATTTATTTCAGCTTTCAAAAAATACAATGATGTCAATATTGATAACAGCATTAACACAACACAATAACGTCAATATTGACATCAACATTCACACAACACAATTACGTCACTATTGACATCAACATTCACACAACACAATAACGTCACTGTTGACATCAACAGTCACACAACACAATGACGCCACTATTGACATCAACATTCACACAACACAATAACGTCACTGTTGACACCAACAGTCACACAACACAATGACGTTAATATTGACATCAACATTCACACAACACAATTACGTCAATATTGACATCAACAGTCACACAACACAATAACGTCAATATTGACATCAACAATCACACAACACAATAACGTCACTATTGACATCAACATTCACACAACACAATAACGTCACTGTTGACACCAACAGTCACACAACACAATGACGTCAATATTGACATCAACATTCACACAACACAATAACGTCAATATTGACATAAACAGTCACACAACACAAAGACGTCACTATTGACATCAACATTCACACAACACAATTACGTCAATATTGACATCAACAGTCACACAACACAATAACGTCAATATTGACATCAACATTCACACAACATAATTACGTCAATATTGACATCAACATTCACACAACACAATAACGTCAATATTGACATCAACAATCACACAACACAAATACGTCACTATTGACATCAACAGTCACACAACACAAAGACGTCACTTTTGACAGAAAAATTCACGCAACACATTGGCATAATTACAGAGCTACAAAGTGCTTATCGTGTTACCAGGATTTCGGTCTAAATTCAGGAAACGGACACCGGATGTACCGATTGTAGTAGACGGACATGATAGGAAACTCGACCATTGTATTGAATTGTGTCAGCAAAAGGTGTTCAAAGACTCGTAGAATGCACCTGACCAGTACATTGGACGCCGTAATTAAAATCGATTAACGATTCACTCCCTCCCTAATTGGTGATTATCGTTAATCAATGCGTACAGTAATCGACGGAACGAGTTGACAGTTGACATGGCTTGGTTACCCTATAGACTGCCTAACCTGCCCCGCCCCCTCCGAGAGGCTGACCAGAAACACAGACACATCACGTGTTCCATTACAAACGGCACGCCCAGCCTAATTGAAACTTTTAATGGCATTCTTCGCAGGTAAGACGAGTCAAGTTTGGGTCAAAGTTGACAAAAGAAGGCATTATGGGATGTAGCACCAGCACAACAAACATGGAGGGGACGAAGACTCCACTGTCATCTGGCGACAAAATACTCATCAAGCAATCCTGGAGTCAGTTCACCAGCACAGGCAGCTTGGCAGATGTAGGAGTACCAATGTTTGCCAAGTAAGCTAATCATTATTAATGACGAAGTCTTAATAGCATGCAGTTCTATTTACTGTGTGTAGATTGTCCATGGTTGAACTGTATACACTTGAACGGCTATAATGTATATCGGGCCACGTGTTTAATTAATATACCGACGTAGTAAAACGCTAGAGAAACTTAAAAAGGTATTCATAGTAAAAAGATATTAAATTAGTTACATCGCATTTTAATTAGTTTTATGTCAAATAACCGTTTTATGCTTATACACTGTTACTAGTATATCTATAAGCGTAATATACACATCAATTGCTCGCCAGCTCCTATGTAAAACAAATTATTCACCTCGTAAAAATTAACAGTGCACGACAAATTAATCTGAATTAAAGAACTCATTTGTTAATTGAAAGGTTATCTATGACACGGTATGTATATTCGCAAGTCACATTCATCACTTTGTAACTCCCGAGGGTAACATCACTTTTCATACTCCCGAGGGTACACGTAACATTACTTTGCATAAACCCGAGGGTAACATCACTTTGCATACTCCCGAGGGTAACATCACTTTGCATACTCCCGAGGGTAACACCACTTTGAATACTCCCGAGGCTAATTTGCATGGACCCGGTGATCAAACTGATATTTCAAACTTTCCACAATCAAATGTATAAAAAACGTTAAGAAAGCAAATGAAATCTCAGTTAAAAAAAAACTAAAATAGAGCTAGCGCTAAAAGTCATACAGTTATGCTACGTGTACAACACAGGTAGACCTAGGAGGGCATGATGTCATGTTACGTGTACAACGCAGGTAGAGCTATGAGGACATGGTGTCATGTTACGTGTACAACTCAGTAAGAGCTAGGAGGGCATGCTGTCATGAAACGTGTACAACTAAGGTAGAACTAGAGGGCATGATGCTATGTTATGTGCACAACTTATTGAGAGATTGGAGGGCATTATTTCATGTAACATGTACAACTCAGGAAGAGCTAGAAGAGCATGATGTAATGTAACGTGAACAACTCAGGGAGAACTAAGAATGAATCAGGTCATGGTACGCGTACAACTAAGGTAGAGCTAAGAGGACATGATGTCATGGTACGCGTACAACTAAGGTAGAGCTAAGAGGACATGATGTCATGGTACGTGTACAACTAAGGTAGAGCTAAGAGGACATGATGTCATGGTACGTGTACAACTAAGGTAGAGCTAAGAGGACATGATGTCATGGTACGTGTACAACTAAGGTAGAGCTAAGAGGACATGATGTCATGGTACGTGTACAACTAAGGTAGAGCTAAGAGGACATGATGTCATGGTACGTGTACAACTAAGGTAGAGCTAAGAGGACATGATGTCATGGTACGTGTACAACTAAGGTAGAGCTAAGAGGACATGATGTCATGGTACGTGTACAACTAAGGTAGAGCTAAGAGGACATGATGTCATGGTACGTGTACAACTAAGGTAGAGCTAAGAGGACATGATGTCATGTAACGTGTACAACTAGACAGAGCTAGAAGAGCATGATGTCATGTAACGTGTACAACTAAGGTAGAGCTAGGAGGGCAGGATGTCATGTAACGTGTACAACTAAGGTAGAGCTACGAGGCCAGGATGTCATGGTACGTGTACAACTAAGGTAGAGCTAGGAGGCCAGGATGTCATGGTACGTGTACAACTAAGGTAGAGCTAGGAGGCCAGGATGTCATGGTACGTGTACAACTAAGGTAGAGCTAGGAGGCCAGGATGTCATTGTACGTGTACAACTAAGGTAGAGCTAGGAGGCCAGGATTACGGTACGTGTACAACTAAGGCAGAGCTTAAATAGCAGGATGTCATGTAACCTGTACAACTAAGGTAGAGCTAGGTGGGCAGGATGTCATGTAACATGTACAACTAAGGCAGAGCTTAAAAAGCAGGATGTCATGTAACCTGTACAACTAAGGTAGAGCTAGGAGGGCAGGATGTCAGGTTACGTGTACATCTAAGGTAGAGCTTAAAAAGCAGGATGTCATGTAACCTGTACAACTAAGGTAGAGCTAGGAGGCCAGGATGTCATGTTACCTGTACAACTAGGGTAGAGCTTAAATAGCAGGATGTCATGTAACCTGTACAACTAAAGTAGAGCTAGGAGGACAGGATGTCATGTAACCTGTACAACTAAGGTAGAACTAGGAGGGCAGGATGTCATGCTACGTGTACAACTAGGGTAGAGCTAGGAGGCCAGGATGTCATGGTACGTGTACAACTAAGGCAGAGCTTAAATAGCAGGATGTCATGTAACCTGTACAACTAAGGTAGAGCTAGGAAGACATGATGTCATGTAACCTGTACAACTAAGGTAGAGATAGGAAGACATGATGTCATGTAACCTGTACAACTAAGGTAGAGCTAGGAAGACATGATGTCATGTAACCTGTACAACTAAGGTAGAGATAGGAAGACATGATGTCATGTAACCTGTACAACTAAGGTAGAACTAGGAGGGCAGGATGTCATGCTACGTGTACAACTAGGGTAGAGCTAGGAGGCCAGGATGTCATGGTACGTGTACAACTAAGGCAGGGCTTAAATAGCAGGATGTCATGTAACCTGTACAACTAAGGTAGAGCTAGGAAGACATGATGTCATGTAACCTGTACAACTAAGGTAGAGCTAGGAGGCCAGGATGTCATGGTACGTGTACAACTAAGGCAGAGCTTAAAAAGCAGGATGTCATGTTACGTGTACAACTAGGGTAGAGCTTAAATAGCAGGATGTCATGTAACCTGTACAACTAAGGTAGAGCTAGGAGGACAGGATGTCAGGTTACGTGTACATCTAAGGTAGAGCTTAAAAAGCAGGATGTCATGTTACCTGTACAACTAGGGTAGAGCTAGGAGGGCAGGTTGTCATGTTACGTGTACATCTAGGGTAGAGCTATGAGGGCAGAATGACATGTTACGTGCACAACTCAGGTAGAACAAGGAGGAGGACATGATATCATGGTTCGTGTACAACGTTTTTTTGAGCTACGAGGGCATTTTGTCATGTATGCGAAAACTAAGGCTGTCATGTAACATGTACAACTCCGGTAAATCTAGGAGTGCATGTTGTCATGTAACGTTTCTGTTAGAGCTAGGAGGACATGCTGTTTTGTTAAGTGTAAAACTAAGGTAGAGAGAGGAGGGGATACTGGCATGTAACACGTAATATCTGTTAGAGGTAGGAGGGCATGATTTCATGTAACAAGTACGACTCAGGTATAACTAAGAGGGCATGCTGGAATGTATGTTGAGACACTGGTAGAGCTAGGAGGGCCTGCTGCCTTTTAATTTGTTTAATGGTGTTATAGGATTGTAAAGACATATTTGTTAACAAATAAATAAACGGATTTCATGAATGTGGTACACATGTTTATATTTGCCAGGGCTCTCATTGTTATTTTCAAACATTTGATTGTTGTATTTACTTTAGCGTTGTGTATATTTAAGTAAGAAGGTATATAAACAGTGGAGACAGTGGTCCAACACTTCTGGACAGGTTCCTATTGACCGTCGCTGTTTATAACCACTTACAACAGCTACTACAGTCCTGGTGAAGTAGTCAGACTATCTGTTGTTTTTGTATACATGGATCGTAGGGACGGAAATTTGAAAGCCTTCTCTAAGTTGATGTGGCGCGAGTTAAGTGGTACCATTGAAATTTTAGAGGATGTATATTAATGTGAACATTTTCATTAGTATTCTTTCTCGTTACCCATCTATTTCATCAATCAAATGTCTGGTTATTTTCCCGAAATATCTCCGTTTTGGCCACCATCACGCAAATGAACCATTTCCAAAATATACCTATAGGACAGCTAACTGATACATGTATATGTACACATTTAGAAATGCAGTCAACAGATATTGTGTCAGTATGCAAAGGTATAGTTATGTTATTCCTTTGTTATTTCAATGTTTATTTTAAAGTTAACCAATGCGACGAATTCAGATTTAAAAAAACATTATGTATATGACAAAACTGTCTCCAATGACAAAACTGTCTCCGATGGGAAACATACCATGTACAAATCCGTACCAGATGTCACTTTTGAAACAAAATCCTAGCTTTTTCCTTAATAGCAGTTGTATTTAGAAGATACTGCCTAGGTCGCTGCTGCTTCCAGTGTATTTAATAAGCGATGACCTCATAGACAATAACGCCACAAATAGATCACATTATGAATAGTATGACGTCATAGATACTATGACATCATAATAGCTATGTCGCAGATGATACGTCATATCCTCGACTACGTCAAGGACTTTGAATTTTATTGCTTGCTATCATGATTCTCATACATTGAAACGACAGGCGGTATGTTTTACAGTCGGGATGTCTTGAACTTTTTCTGTTAAGAGCACTCCAAGATTCTACTTACAGTGTCCCTTTTCATTAATGCGGAAGGGCACTTGTCTGACCTAATTTAGCAGTATTTCCACCACATGCTCTTCTACCCACTCCCTGATCTTCCTGTTTGTTTCTTGTACCTATATGCCCGTTGGCCACTTTGTATTCGTCAATCAATACACAATAGTTTGCAACATCTTAGAGTGTTGTTCATCAATAGTGTGAATTCCATCTCATTCCGAACATCAGTCGCCGAGTTGATCATTTATATACAAAACCTGTAATTCATTACACTCATAAGTCGCCTAGATGGTTATTAGTATGCACAACCTGTTAACCTTACACACATGACTGTCCTCCTCCAGAGTTCTTCTCAATTTGCCCTCGACCAGAATATACGTATTGTTTTAGACTTCTCAGCGTTAGTAAGGGTGCTTTCTTAAATACCTAGTCCTAAGTCGTTTTTTATGCATGAAGAGTATCTAGGTATCCTCTGACAGGCTGTCAATCATCCGGTAAGTGTTTTTAATAGGTAAACATAAGGAGTACTCTTTCATCCTTCTCAATTACTTTTTGCTTTCTCCTTTCCTTTCTTTCCTATCTGCTTTCCTTAATTGAACTGTCCAGAAAAGTTCCTTCTCATAAAAGTTAAAATACTTAATTTGCCTTATGATATTTGGCTTTTCTTTGTGAATTATGTGAATCTTGACAAATTTTACAAATTCTCTTTAGCCGGATTTCAAGGTGATATAGTATTGCCTTCTTGGTGAGAGGATTGTTATTTAAATATTTCGCAGATAGAGACAGGTAGACAAGTTTGGGTCTGTGACTTAGTAGCCACCCCCGATCTTAATTGATTCCGCCTATCGTCAACGCTGGTAAAGCCAAACCCCACTCTGCCATGCGTCCATATTCCAAAACCGTCGTCAATGAACGATGTTTGAAATATGAGCTGGTATTTAAATCTGCTCAGCTACTTCATCCCATTTCCAAATATATTCTCACTCTGTATGTTATACTCAACGTACATACATTTATCGAAGACGTTTTGCGATACCAACTGGATCACCTCATTGATCTTAATATTTATATATACCTCCGTCCATTCTGCTCTCATTACTGAAAGAAGGGTCTGTTCAATTTCCTTCAGTATGTGCACTGCTGGTTTAGTTTATAATCTACAAAACTCCATAACGGGGATTCATAACTATTCCTGATAGTTTTGTCAATGTCTGCCAGTTTTTGGGTTAAATGTTTGGACTATCCTTTAGTGTGCTCGCCTCTGGATGTCTTCGATCCAACAAAACTTTTATGTTTTCTGTAAACTTACACATCCGATTCGCCAATAGACGTGCCTTCCTGAATCAACGCTTTCCTATTAGGTCTCTTTTCGTTTATCTATGGCAATATTGCAACCTTCCTTATCCATGCCTGTTTGAAAAGCCTTATTCGTCTAGGTTCAAAACAATCTTGTTAGGATTAGTAGTGCTTCTCTTTAATCCAAATATGTATGCATACTTCCATCCCCTCTGCACTTGATACTGCCGAATACAGAAGGGACTGTTCCCTTTCCTTTTGAGTTAGGATTTGGATTACTTATGCATCACTGTTTTATTTCATAACATACAAACCTCCCTGAAGGGGATCCAAGACCGTTTATAATAATTTAGTTAAATGTTAAGGTTTACCCTTTATTGTGCCTACCTTTGGATATCTTCTGTACAGCTAGTGTTTCATGTTTTGTGTAAAAGCGCCAGCCCTGAACACCTTAATTGCCAACATCTTCACCTTCCTAAATTTGTCCTTGCGTGACTCGATCTCAATTCACCTGCTTAATATTGTCGAGTGAGGGTAAATGCATGCCTGCACATATTTAAACGCTTTCAGTCTTTCAGTTTTATCAACGTTAAACGTTTAACATTTATCCACCACTGGCTATAGCGTCCAGACAACATCACATCAGTTGCGATATCGGCTTATTGGTGAAATTAAAACCAAACATCAGGTGACAAATATTTGCGAGCACTGAAGAAAAGCCTTGTTAAAAAGATAAGTTTAAGAAGTAAAAGTTGCGTTAGAGATATGGAAGAAGACACGACGGCACATTCAACTAATGCTTCATTAAGTAGATAGATCATCTGTCTAAACTATTATTTGCTTCTTGCTTGTATTTTGATGAAATTGCGTGTTTATTGTCGTACTCATCATATTTACGAAGGACTTGAAGGTTGGTAACAAATCGTTGCTATTTAGTTTTTTTACTTATGTAAACTTGTTCTTCCACAGATTGTTTGCAGACTACCCAGATGTGAAGACCTTATTCTCGTTTATGAGAGAGGGAGGTGGATCACTGGAGAGTGAGGCTGTGAGGAACCATGCCGAAGGGGTGATGGGCGTGGTGGGTACGGCTGTGGAATCTATCGACAATCTGGAAGGTCTTGTGCCGACTGTGAGGAGTTTAGGGGCAAAGCACTACACGTACGGGGCCCAGACAGCACATTTAGGGGTAAGTACTGATTTGACAGGTCACACAATGGTGGTGCGAAAGATCCAACCACCATGTGTACAAACGATAGACACAACGTTTCATTGATTTTATTTACAGTGACAATACATATTTTATATTTTGTCTTAATTCTGAAGATTTCTTTTTTTTTTAAATAACTTGTAGCCATTGTTGTATCAGGTACATTTTGGCCCTCCAGACCTTACAGTAATATTGTTGTTAGTTGAATAAAAAATAACTTTTGATGGCGTTTAAGTAATTATGTGTGTTGTTGCAGGGTAGCTACGACCCCTTTAGACCTTTTAGTAACATGGTCGTTAGTTGACACAAGGTAGCTGGTGCTCTCTAGTCCGTGCTATTAATCTTGCGTGTTGTAGTATTTTGGCTGGTGGTCCTCCCACACCAAGTTCCCTCAGGTCCCAACACCGAATGGTGGACATTTTGACAGATACATGTCTGGTGCTGTATCAAAACGTGGAAACCATTTGGTGTAGAGACGATTTTGGGCGATGACAAAAGGCATAAGTTATACCTCAACACATACCTTGCATAAAACTACATTCAGTCACGTTGTTCCATTATGTTCGTACTGCCATTTGCTCCACAGGCGTCAAATTTTCGCACCTAAACGACTTCATTGTGTGGATTGTGCAAATATTGCAGCGACACAAAATGTCCGAACAAAATGATCGGAACCGTAAGAATCAAACTATATTACAACAGTAAGAATGAATACAATTTGTACGTATGGAAAAAATATTTACAACCAAGAAATGGCGAGGGCAGTACTGACGGAATTAAACAGTGATTAATGGTTTAATAGGAATTTTGGTATCAGCATCCGAAACTTAGCGACACCAAGTTTGGATGTTCAAAGTTTAGTGGAGCATTCGAAAGAAAACTAGGGCTAGGGCCCCCCAGGTCATGTCAGTAATCATTTTGTTAGTTGTCACAGGCCTGCTATGCTGTCCATCTAGCCCATCGTGCACGCAGATGTTTTTGGTAACAACAGTCAGCTAGGGCCCCGCCAAGCCACGTCCTGTTAGAGGGGTAGGGCCAAATCTAAACACATTGGTTACAGGACAATAACACTTATTATATTTCCTAACTGCCTTTAAAATTTTGGATGACAGGCTTTTTTTTGG